GCATGGCGAACGACCCAGAGATCTCAATGTAGAGCAAAAGACAGGCGGCAGCGCAGCACGAGAGCCGTCGCGCGCCGACAGACAACTCTTCCCACCACATTGGCGCAGTTTCGCATGCCGTTGGAGATCGAGACTAAGGGCTAGGGCTATATATATATATATATATATATTGATGTGGTTTAGCTCGAGTAGGAGGAGCTTGCGGTTGTCGCCGATAGCGCAACGACGCATAAGCGAGTACATTGGGCATCGATGGCGCCATAGCGCGGGACCTCACTTAGGTTGAATTGCAATGGTCTGGCTGCTCGGCGTCCTCCAGCTATGCAAGAGTTCGGGTGGGGCTCTTAGCGCGGTATCGCCAAGTGGACCTTCTTGCCGCCGCCGACGCTGCGCTCGATGCTTGGCGGCACGTCTGCATGAGCAGATCCGGCAGTTTCCGACGTGCTGCTTCTGACAACCCACGGTGACATGAGGTTCATGCGCTCTCGACATGGATCGTGACGTCCATGCAGTTCGCTCAAGGCAACCAAAACCAAGTCGCAGTGTCTGCTGTCAGAAACGACGAAGAATCTCCGAATAAAACGTCAAGCTCCAAGCAAAGGGTTTGCCGCGGTTTCATTCAAGAAGAAGCTCAGACATTCGTCCGACGTGCGTATTGTTGTCATTATCAGAACTCTCGCGTCGCGTTGGTTAGGACGCAAGCCGACGAATGATGGTGTCCACCATCATCATGCCTGGACGGTCGTCAGGGTTCGTGGCCAAGCACTGGCGCGCAATGTCCGCAACCCACGACGGCGTGTGCGACGCGTCGATCGTGGGCTTGATCGTCCCGGACGTGACCTGCGTGAGGAGGTACTGCTGGTTGTACGGCAGATGCGTGTGCGGGTTGATCATGTCCGAGTACGGCGTCAAGTGCGTTGAAAACTCGGTGAGGAGCACCCCTAGCAGATACGTAAATCAATACCCCTAGCCCTGATACGATAGTTACCAAACGAGTAGACGTCGGCAGCGACCGTGTACTCCTTCCCGAGGATGACTTCGGGCGCCATCCACTGGTACGTGCCGATGCCGTTCGTCAGCGTGTTGTCGTCCATCTCGCGCGACTCGCCGAAGTCCGTGAGCTTGGTGCCCTGTGCATTTATAGCTTGAGCGCCAAATCATCAGCAAGCTCAGACCTTCTTCGAGTCCAAGAGCACGTTGCGGGACTTGAGGTCGCGGTGGATGATGGGCGTCTCGAACGTGTGCAGGTAGATGAGGCCGTGGATGATGCTGGTGATGCTCAGCTTCTTCTGCGCCCACGTAAACTGCTCCGGCGTCGTCCTGGACAAGAACGACCGGAGGTCCCCGAGGTCCATGTACTCGACGACGCACGCAAGGTCCGTGGGCCGGCGCCACGACGCACCAACAAACTCGACAATGTAGTCGCAGCGCATTCTAGGTGCCGGATATATTCAGATCAAGTTCCCACGAGCAGACGTACTTGGAGTGGAGCACGATTTCCTCAATAAACCTTTGAATGTGCTTGGTGGACTCGTGCTTGATGCGCTTGATCGCGACGTCGTCGTCGCAGTAGCGGCCGCGCCACACGTCGCCATACGCCCCCGACGCCATGGGCTTGGAGCCAACCACCCGCAAGTCGGAATGTTCGAGCTTGTACTTGCGCAAGTGAGCCATGTTGAAGACGTCGTCGCTGTCGTCGATACTGCCGCGCTTCGAGCTCAGGTCCCGCGTACTCGAAAGCCCGGGAGCGGTGCCCGTCGACACAGCAGGCGTTGCAAGCACGGGAAAGTAGTTCGTGGCGTCCTCTGACGTGCCGTTGTAACGCAAACGTTTGGCCTCCTTCTGGCGACGGCGGTAGCACAAAACCCCGACGACTACGACGAGAACGACGACACCGACCGCAATGCCAGCGATAAGACCCGTGTCTACGATCGCTTTTACCACGTCCGCAGAGGACGCGACTTACTGGAGGAGCTCGAGTCTGTCGGCGTACTAACGACGATCTCTACTGGGAGAATGACACACGGCAACTCGGAAGCGGCATACCAGGTACGACGCAAACCTGCCAAACCAAGGTGGTCTTGGACTTCCAGAGCTGTTGGATGGTGCCGCCAATGGCCGCGCATGTCGCCGCGTCCGTTTGCACGGAAGTCGAGATGGAGAATCTTGGCGTCGAAGTGCTCAACTTGGGCGAATAGGCCTCCATTTTGTCAAGGACATTGAACGTCGCTTGCGTGATGGTGACGTTCTTCAGGTCCTTGCAGCCGTAGCACCCACTACGCCCATGTCAGAATACGAGCTCGGAGGGCGCCGCACAAGAGGTTGATGCTATCGCCAATGGCGACACGCGAAATGGACTGGATCGGGGTGCTACCAAGATCCCTACACCAGCGACTGAGTGTCACGGCCTCACTTGTCGTCGTACAAATAGAAGAGAGCACTGGAAAAGTTGCGATTGGCGAGCGTCGTGACCGGGTTGAGGCTCACGTCGCTGCACGTTTCATCACGACCGAGTTCCAGCGGGACACGTACAGATAGGTGACTTTGTCGGGGACGCTGCTCAGATCCTCGATGCTGTTGTTCTGGAAAGACCTGCGCAAAGCTATGGTGTCGGAGACACAGCATTGGGGTTGGTACATGTGGTGAACACTCTGCGGCAGCGCCGCGGGAATCGTCTTGAGATTGCACAGATGGCAGACACTACAAGGTCATGACGCCTCGGTACGAATGACTTGCGGACGCTTACAGCGTCGTCATGGCACTTGGCGGCCATGTACTCGGCCACGTGACCGTGGACACGTTGTTGAAGTACCTATGACGGTTGTGAGAGCCCACACACAGCGCATCACTGTGTACCAGGTGGCAGGCGTCGGGTTGCTCACCTTGCTGATGTCGACTGCCTTTACGTGCTGGATGATCCTAGATGCGGCGCATGACGGTGGGTCCATATCTTGAACAGCACGCACACAATGGTCACAGTTTGCCGCAAAACCATTTTGGTCAGGTCCATGCTCGTTGAGCCGCCGATATTCCTAGCCACGATCAGTTCTTAGCCACGATAAGTGATGCCCCGTACAATTCGGTGCCGTTGAAGTTGGTCATATCGCCGATGGCGTCGACGTTGGAGAACCACTGCTCCTTGCTGACAGAGATAACCGCGCATGTAGCAGGGTCGAGACGACACACGCTCGAGCTGGGGCAGTTGGCGTCGGCGGCAATGATCGACGGCTTCTTGAGCGACGCATACGGGCACGTCTGCGCCGCACTCGACGCAAGCAGCCACAGAAGACCGACAATCACAAGCTTGGACATTCGGAAACTTTGGAAATGGCTGGGCACCTATGGCGCCACGAGGAAAACCATATGGGCATCCCGTCCCCAACAATTTCTTGCACGGGGTTGTGATCGAGAGACGAGCCCTGTGAGTTGGCAGTGCACTTGGAGCTGCACTTGGTCTGTACTATCACTTGGACCTTCTTGCTAGATACAAGCCGCCACGCAGTAAGCTTGCACGTGTTCTTGCAATTAGGGCTCCTGCGATCGTCAGCGCTGGGTCGTACGGCCAATGTGGCTGCGGTCCGCTTCTTCGCCCCAACCGAGGTCGCCGCCTCAGTCGCTGACGCCGCCTCCGTCGCTGACGTCTCTCGAGGACCTCAACAAACTGCGTAGCTTTGCCGCCGACTGCAAAGCCTGGAAGAACTTTACCGACCTTGTCGTCAAGTTCCTCAGACGTCGTTGGGCGACCACGAAAGAGCCAGACGATCCCCGCGCCGCGTAGCCACGGCGTTCTGCACGCCATTTCCAGCGGAAACCGGGGATATGCCGAGTTTCGGATCACCGCCTTTCTGGCTCCAGCAGCTGGAGCCTCCCTTGGCTAGATTTGCTGCCGGCTCCATTCCACCAAAACCACAAGGCCCGATCCCCCCAAGAAATTAGGAGGAAAACACTAGTATATATTTATTTGGTCCAGACTTAGCTCGAGTGTTCCAAGATCGAGAGGAGGAGCTTGCGGTAGTCGCCCGACGTCTCGCCGTGGATGCGGTCGCGGAGCGACTTGTTGTACTTGGCCTGGTACGCCTGCTTGACCTGCGGGAGGAGGTGCTGGTAACGGACAAGCGCGGCCGAGAGACCGTACTCGTCAGTGCCAATGCCGTGCATCGTCTTCTCAAACTGCGCGGCCACCGTCTCGATCGGGTGAAGGATCATGCCGACGTGGTAGAGAAGGGCGTCACGCGCCTTGCCGCCAAACTCCTTCTCAATGGCGCGCTCGAGGCTGTTGCCGTGCTTGGCCACGTACGCGGCGTTGACGGCCGGCATGAACTGCGGCGGGATCGAGCAGATCGCGTTGCAGAACGTCGCCTCGTCCGTGCCCCACTTGCCCTCGCCGGCCTTGTAGATGATCTCGGCCACCTCGACGGCCTTGGCCTGCGTGTGGATCTCGGGGTTGAACGTCTGCTGCATCTGGTTGACGACCGAGAGGTAGAACTTCTTGAGGTCACCGCCGAGATCGTCGGCGAGGACGACGACCATGTCGTTCTGGTAGTTCTTGAAGAAGGCCTTCTTGAGGATGTTGAGTTCTTCGTTGGAGCGGCCCGAGAGCACGGGGATGAGGAGCTTTTCGTTGGTGCCGGTGCCCTTGGTGGCTTCGCGGATGATCTGGGCCTCGGCCTCTTCGATGGGCTGGGCGAGGAGCTGAAGGAGCTTGCCGTAGTCGCCGGACGTCTCGCCCTTGAGCTCGGCGAGGAGCGTCGTCTTGTGGAGCTCCGGGTAGCGAAGCGCGATGAGGTAGCGTTCGCCCGAGGTCTTGGAGCCGAGGATGTCGTTGAGCTTGCTCTCGTCCGTGCCAAAGCCGGCGCAGGCGGCCTTGATCTCGTGGCACCAGTTGTCGACGATGGGGCTCGTGTGGTTGAGCGCGCGGCCGGCGTCGACCTCGTACGTCTGCTGGGGGTAGATGTTCATGGCGGCGAAGGCGACAATAAGAAAATGAAGCCAATAAGAAAACATCGCCCGCAATCGCCCACACCCATCATTTAATGTCGAGATTTTATTCGCAATACAAACATCGCGTATAGAATTAAAAAAATAGAAAGTGCAAAGTGCACTTTTGGGTTGTGGAAAGAGTGTGTGTCGCAGTATACAAATGTCAAGTGAAAACAATTCGGCAAAAGCAATGACGTGGACGCGCGACAACGAGTGAGCAAGGGAACAATCCCCACAGAAACTGGACCCCTTGCGATGGAAAAGCCGTTTGCCCAAGTACTACTCGTTGGTTGGACTGGCCTATGACGCTTTATTATACTCGGTACGAACTCGTGTCCGCTGCCTGCTCGATTCACTCGACCTACAGCTCGACGCCGCACTGCGGGTTGTGACCCGTGCTGCAATTTGATTGGTGCGCCGATAAAATCGTTGTCGGTGATTGGTGCATCGAATAATGTGCGGGTCGCAACCTTACCGCAGGCGGTACAGCGCGAGGCTACCGATCGACGCTAAAGGCACAGCGTCGGGTGCGAGCAGCACCTTGTCCAAGGCGACGGTCGAGTGCTTGTACGGAAACGCGTACACGCGGAAGAGTCGTCGGCCGCAAATGGCGTTGCAAACGACGAGCGGGTAGTCGTGGATGTCGAGGATGAAGCGGTCGTCGAGAAGGACGTAGCCGAGGAGCCAGACGCTGGACGGCGACACAAAGTGCGTCTTGCCAATGAGGTGGTACTCGTCGAGGGGTGCGACGAGGCCGTACGTCTCGCAGAGCTTTTGCCGGACGCGCGGCTCGAACCCCGCGCGGCAGACGTCGTCGCCCGAGAAGCTCCGGCGTGAGAGCAGCTTGGACGCGACGAGCGTACTGGGCACCACTCGCGCGCAGAACTGGTCCGAGATGCGCCGGCCGCCGATATTCGTGGTAGTGTTGTCGAGGCAGAGCAGCGTGAGGTGGTGCATGCGCCGCCACGTCCGCCACGTCCGCGTCTTGGCATCGTACATGTTGCTTGTTTTTTCAAAGGCGGCGTAGAGGGCGCAGAGAAGGCATGCGAGGAGCCACCACGTCATTTGCGTCAGCAACAGCGTTAAATTTGTGTCGTGGTTTTCGTGCCACGTCCAGAGGTCCATGCCGTCGACGTTGGCCTCGAGGATGTTGGCGAGGTAGTTGGCCTTGACAAAGGCATTCGTCGCCTCCAGTGCGAGGCCGTGCGTCGCCACGATCTTGTCGCTCAGCTGGTAGCAAATCAGATAGATGAGCACGACGAGGTCGAGGCGTAGGCGGATGCGCACGGCCTTGGCCAGCGAAATCATGAGCCCGAGGTACACCATGAGCGCATCGGCGCGGACGATGTCGGTCAACACAAACGTGTTGGTCCAGCCTTGGCGGGCGTCGGCCGTGCAGAGTGCGTACTCGTAGAGGTGCCAGCCGTTCGTGCTCACGAGCACGACGAGGCAGAGGAGCGCGCGCAGTTGAATGCGGAACTGAACGCAGGGAAACACGTCGGGCACCCACGTGGCGCCAAGAACGCTGTGCATGCGTAGCGCGACGAGGAGGGCGACGCTGCCGTTAACAGCGAGGGTGAGGGTGATGCCCATGCCAAGGAGAAGGCGCACCCAGCCGTACGCGTCCTTGGAGACATCGGTCGTCAGATAATGAATCAACTGCATAAACTCGATCGGGTTATTGGGAAAGTCCCACGTCACGTAGCCAAAGCTGGCTTGCGTGTCGATGGACGACCGGTAGATGCCGTCGGTACCCGCCACCGAGACGGGCTCGTTCGTGGGCGCTAGCGTGCCTGCCCACATGCCCTCCACCGTCCGATCGTGTGGGTGGGGCACCGTGAGGCGGTAAAACGGCGGCAGAACGTAGGGAAAGTCGAGGCCCACTGCGTGCATGTAGGAGGCTTCCTGCGGCGTTGTGAGATCCGGCAGCGTCACGGCCGAGAGGTCGACGGTCGAGAACGTCGCCAACCCGCACGTGGATGAGAGGCGTTTCGTTGGGCGGTTGATGTGCACCGTCTGGAGAAAGAGGGTTGTCAGCTGCGTCGCCGCCGGATCGACAAAGTGCAATTTGAGAGCAGTCGTGTCTTGGACCATCCGACCACTGTACGCGCAGTCAACAAGGATCGTCGACGACAGAAGCGCCGGGAGCGATGGCGCAGCGCTCGCAATGCGCGGCAACAGCTTGTTGAGGTACCTTGGCGCGTAAATGCGGTCGCCCGGTAACATGGTGTGGCATGCGTCGGTGCTTGCAGAGAACGAGCCGTCGGGTGCCGAGTCCAAGTAGAGCCAGCCCGTCGTCGGTGGTATCCAAGGGCCGCTGCTGTTGAGAAGGCTAGCGACCCATGGTCCAATGAGTGGGCTCGAGTATGTGGACGCGAGGTGCGTGGGGTTGTTGGCGCCGAGGAGGTTGGCCTTGACCGCATCCGACCCCGTCCACTCGACGTAGAAGACGATGATGGCAGCGACGCAAGACAGCAGTCGGTGGAGTCGGACGTCCCAGAGGAGGCACGTTCTCGTTGCCATCCGACTGTAAAAATGGACGCCTCGTACTTTTTGGCACCGGCGTTACCGATGGGTCTGAGCTAATTTTGCTCCATTCCAATCTGATCGAGACAAGAGACAGAACTTAGTTTCTCGCCATGTATATGCATTGGCCAAGGCGACGCCTTGCAGGGGGTAGTCGTAGCGCAACATTGAACGCAGTAGTCGGTTGGACCGACGGCATACCGGACGCAGCCTTCGCTTGAAGAGAAGGCTGTCCTTCGGAGCAAGACGCAATGGCTCGAGGTGGCGCGTCCTGTCTAGCAAGGCCACTGCCGCTGCAGCGAAACCTCCACTGATGCGTCGAGTAGGTACCTCCAAGCTCCGTTGTCGACAGACCTGTCTCTCTCCCAAAGTGGCGGGAGAGCGCGGTTTCGGTTGCGTGCAATTAGCCTGCGGACAAGCCCGCTCAGTTAAGTACGCGCTCTGTGGTTGGCGCGGTCACAGCAGCATGGACGACCGCGGCGACTGGGAAGCTGCGCTCGCCGACGGTGGCCACATGGACTTTATGGGCGACGCCAGCCTCTCGTCCGCGCTCCTACTGCGCCAGTCGCCACCGACCAAAGCGCCGTCGCTCGTGCCGTCGCCGCTTTCGCCGCTGCCGAGCCTCTCACTCGACGACCTCTTGCCGTCGGCGCCTGTCTCGCCCGGACTGGCGGCGATCCTGCCCGGCGACGTCCACCTGTTTCCGAACCCGCTGGTCGCAACCTTGCCGCCGCCCGCCGTCGTCGTCGCGCCGCAGTGCATTGACCTGCGCATCGTCAAGGAGAACGGCGTTCTTGGCTTTGGGGTTGTACCCCGGCGCGGCATGGGCGGCGTCCAAGTCTCAACGCTGCAGCCCGCGTCCAGCGCCGACCGCGCAGGTCTCCGCATCGACGACTGCCTCCTTCGCATCGGCGTCAACGACGTCGGCTCCATGGCGCTCAACGACGTGGTCGAGCAGCTCAAAGCCGTGCGACCGGGCGAGGCCATCATGCTGCGCGTGTACCGCCCGACGGCGCCGCCCACCAAGAAGCCGCGGCTCATGGCGCCCGAGAATGCGCTCAAGAAGCAGGTCGACGCCGCCGCCAAGGATTTGGCAAATGCGATTGCAGAAAAGACCAAGCTCGCCGACCGCAACACCGCATTGCGGAAGCGCGTGCAGGAAATCGTCATCAAGGCCGACGAGACCCTCTTGCAGGTCACCAAGGAGAAGGACGCGACGATCGCAAAGCTCACGCAGGACAAGGCCGACGTGGCGCAGGCACTCGCGACGCTCCAAGCGCAGATGCGCATCGAGGCCCGGACGCTATTTGATGCCAAGGGCAACGCGGAAATCAAAGCCCAGCTCGACGCAGCAGTGCTGCGGATTGCCGACCTTGAAGACGCCGAGCGGAAGCGGTCGGCCGCCAAGAAACACTACGTCTCGGTGCAAGCTGCGCTGGCCGGTACGACGATCCTCTTCATGCAGAATCGGAGCTATGCGGGTGGTAGGCAAGCTGCTGGCCCAGCTCGAGACAAGGGTGGTCGAGCACCTTCAGATCGCTCTCGCCACCATGGCAGCTGCCCGTGCTGCGACCAAGTCCAATGCGTACAACGCCGCGACGCTGCCGCCGACGCTCACGATCACGGTCGAGCTCTGTCGACCGACCACCGTGTTCCAGCTCCTGGACGTCACCACGGTCTATGATGCATTTGGCTTCCCAGTGCTAACGCCGCTGCGACTCACATGGCCTGCGGCCCGCGCGTACGCGGTAGGTGCTACGGCCCAGGAAGCGGAATGATCTGGACGTGTGCGTAGGTGTTTGGCCAGCGCCTCGTGTATGAAGAACGGACAGGCGTCAACCTCGTAGCGTCGGGACCTGTAGTACGTCACTTGGCCGCCGCATCAACTTGCTGACGCGGTTCGTAGGAGACCAAATTTGACCCGACAACAGAGCTTCTCGAAATGACGTGGAAGTGGTCCGAGCACAGCGTGCTGCGCGAGATCGGGCGGTCGATCCGGCTGGCATAGAGGCAGGGTGTCGTAGTGTAGTACTGCTAGGAAAACAAGATAAACGCGCAAGATAGTATTATCATGCGTCGTCTTTGGCGGCCCGCGACAGCTCGTGGCAGACGTACTCGAGCTTCCCGCTGATGGCTTCCATCTCCTTTGCGCTCTGCACCGCCCAGTTGCTGAAGCCTTCAAGCTCGGCCAGCTGCGCCTTGAAGCGCTTGTGCTCGGCCTTCCAGCGCACCGTCTTTTGGTGCAGCTGCACTGCGCACTTGGCCATGCCGATGCACTCGTCCTGGATCGCTTGCTGGTTGGCCATAACGGGCGCCATCGCCGTGTCGACCTGCAGACCGAGGTGCTGCTCCATGAGCAGCATGCTCATCTGGAGGCCCTTGGTCGCCTCGGCGCGCTGCTTCTGCTGCTGGGCCAGGAGCGACTCGGCCTCGGCAGCGAACTCCCCAAGCATCGCCAAAACTCGACTGCCGCGTATCCGCATACCAACACAATATCCGGATGCCGGCAGACCCAGATCTTGCTGGCGGGTTGCAACTAGAATTGCGGATCCCTGGGGCGCGGTGCGTCGAGGTGCAGCTCCAAGAGTTGCGACCAACGAAGGACGTCGACCAGCTCGAGGCCGCATGTACATGCGTGCAAGTGGTAGCCGTAGACGCGGGCGACGGGGCGTCCGCAGAGGACGTTGAGCGCCAGCCAACCCACGTCGTGGATTGACACGAGGTACGAGCGCCGCAGCAGCACGAAGCCATGGCTCCAAAGCTCGGACGGCGAGAGCTCGCTGCCTATCTGGTCGGTGGTCGGAGCGACGAGGCCGACTAGATTTCGGGCGGCGCTCGGAACCGCCGCCTCAAGCACCGTCGCCCATGACAACGGTTGTGGCTGCGACGCTAGCGCCAAGCTCGCACAGGTTGGTCCGCGCCGCGAAGTGCCCGTCTCGTGGCTGGCTTCGCAGACGGCCGAGAGCGATGGGACGATACTCGCCCGCTTGATTGCAATGGCGGGCGCCAAACTCGCGGTCCTCGAGGACGGCTCGACGGCGCCTCCGGTTTTACTTCTGCGGCATCGCTCGTAGAGACGCTGCGCCGCAATGTAGCAGCACCCGACGACGATAGCCACGAAAAACCACGCGTAACTCGCGACGAGAAGGGCGGTCGGCGTCGTCGGGTACATGTGCACCGTCCACAGCGTCATACTTGTCGGCGGCGCGACCACTTGGACGTTGGCCAAGTAGTTGGCGCGCAGCAAGGCGCTGGCGGCCGCTCGCTCGAGGTCGACGGCGACCAAAAGCTCTGCCTGGCGCACAAAGCCGACGAGAAATAGGACAACCGCGACGTGGAGGTGAAGGCGGGCGTGGGCGACGGAGGCGACGGCGTCGAGGAGACTGAGGTAGACGACCAAGAGGTCGCCAAACACCATGTCGGGCAGCACGAACGTGGCGCTCCACCCCTGCTGCGCATTGCCGGTCGCTATTGCATACTCGAGGAGCTCCCAGCCACGGTCTATAGCGCTGATGCAGAGCCAGAGAAGCGTATACTGCCGCGCACGCAGCAAGACGCACGCGTAGAGGTCGGGTATCCAGAGGTAGGAGTGGGTCTGGTAGCGCTGCCAAGCAATGACGACCGATAAGGCCAAGTACCAGAGAAGGTGGAGGCCAAAGGTCGCTGACAAGAGACAGCGCGCCCACGCGAAGGACTTGTCGATGGCGTGGCCGACCTGCGTGTACTGAGTGGCCTGAATGAAGTCGACGGGACTCGCTGGAAGCAGCCAGACGTACGAATCCATGCTGGCTTGCACGGTAGGTGATATGCGGTAGATGCCCTCGGTGCCCGCCACGACGATGCGCTCGCTTGTTGCAATCACCGTGGCCGACCAGCTCCCGACGAATGCGGTGATCGGGTCGAGGAGGACCTCTTGGAAATTACTATTGACTTCGTACGGGAAGCCGAGACTCACAAACGACCGGTACGACGAGACGTTGGATTCGAGGAGCGAAAGCGATGCCAACGGCGCCGACAGCACCGTTGCCGTAGCGCACGAGGTCTGCCACGGCGCCTTGGGGCGGCGGAGGCCCATGGTCTGGACGTAGACAGTCGTGACGGTGTGCTCGTCGATGACATACACCTTAAAAGCCGTCGTATCGCCGAGCACCCGCCCCGTGTACGAGCAGTCGACGACTAAATACCCCGTGGATGGAAGAATGCTGGCGACGAGGGGCAGAGCCACCGAGGCATTGTAGAGCAGGTCCGAGCCATCGAGATATGACATGCAGCTGTCGGTGCGGATCGTATATGGCGCCGCTTGCGCGCCTTCATTAAGGTACAGAATCGGTGCGCGGGGCAAGCTTGTCGTGCTGTTGGCGGCGATGTCAAGGAGAAAGGCCAGGACGAGCCCGCTCGTGTAGACGTTGGCCAGCTTGGGCGCTTCGAATGCACCGAGTCGGACGGCGTTGCAAGCAGCCGCGTTGCGCAGCGCTGAGATGGCAACGTAGAGCGCAGCGGCAAGCGCCAAGCATCGGTGGGCGGTCCCGACGACCCGGGGCCACGACGGCATCAGCTAAATATACTCCAACGGCCAGGTGACTTGGACACGCCACGTCATTTACAGTTTATTGGTTGTTTATTAGCTGGTTTTAGCCAATCAAAACACATTTCACGGCGCAATCGGCTCCGCTCGCCGATAGGCGGGTCGGTGGCCGAAATTGCAATCAAAAATGAAATCGCTCAAACTCAGCACAGTGATAGAGAACACTTTGTAGAGCATACTACGGTGCGTCACGTCGACGTGCGAAGCGTACAGCGTGCGCTACGGCTTCGAACATTAACTGTGGCATACGCCATATTGACACATTTAGCCATATTTACTCGTTCCTGTCTGCCAACACTGTATTTGACGTTGGGCGTTCGTGATCGAGTTAGCAGCGTATAGTCTATTGGGTATCCTCTAACGTTTTTGACTAGCTGCCAGCCCACGCGCACCCAAGTTTCTCGGTCCCGGGATGCATTCGAGTTATCTACGGAGCCTGCAAGGCCCAACCGCGTCAAAACGACCGCGTCCAGCGTCGCATCGAAGCCCATTTTCACTCTTGGCGCCCGTGGCTCTCTAGGGATCCTGCGCAGAAGACGCTGGAGCCATCCTGCTGACACGCACGGCTTGGTGCTGTCGTTCTCGCCATGCAGAACCGTGCGACGCCACGTCATTTGTCCTTTAAAGTACGCCGCACCTGGTCGGGAAACGCACTTAGGCGGAGGGGAAAGACCAAGATATTGCGAATTCCAAACGAGCGATGGGCGTGCAAGAAGTGTTCGGGAACAGCGACTGGGACGCCAAGCACCGCGCCGCCGGCGGGAAGCTCGTCGTCGCCGACTTCACCGCCTCCTGGTAGGTCTAGCCTGCATGACGAGGCCTCATGCCTTGGCGCAGGTGCGGTCCGTGCCAGATGATCAAGCCGCGCTTCCATGCGATGGCCGACCAGTACACCGACGTCGTCTTCCTCGAGGTCAACGAGGCGAACAACGACGACTTGATCCACAGCATTGGCATCCGCGGCTTCCCGACGTTCCACTTTTACATCAACAAGCAAAAGGTCGACGAGATGGTCGGCGCCGACCCGAACACGCTCCAGTCCAAGATCGAGCAGTGGCGCGCGTCCGCCGGTCCCAACCCGTTTGCGTCCGAAGGTGTCTCGCTCGGGGGTGGCGGTGTCGCCCTCGACCCGCGTGAAGCGCGTCTGCGCAAGTTCAACCAGGTCGACTTGCTCCCGACGGCGCCCACGCCTTTCTCCGCCCCGACGCCTGTCGCCGCGCCTGCCCCGATCGCCGCGCCGGCTGCCTTGACCGCAGAGCAGCAGGCTGAAGACGCTGAGCTCGCGCAAGCCCTCGCGCTCTCGCAGCAGGAGCTTTCCCAGGCCCAGGCCAACGTCGACGAGAGCAGTGCCCCTGCCGAGATGGAGCTGCCGCCGGTCAACGAAGCCTTCCTCGCGCAGGTATGCCTCGTCGCATCTAGCAGCAGCATCTCATGTGGCGTGTTTAGCTTGTCGAGATGGGATTCCCGGAGCTCCGCGCTCGAAAGGCGCTGCTGGCGACGAACGACGGCAACCTCGACCAGTGCATCAACTGGATCGACGAGCACCAAGACGACGCCGACATTGACGCGCCGATCCAGTATATCGACATGGCGGTATGCTCTACCCACTGCCATAGCTCAACTCATGGCGCGTGCGTAGCACCACAAGCGAACGCTGACGGCGGACGAGAAGGAGGCCGCCAAGGTTGAGGAGCTCAAGCAGCGCATCGAGCTCAAGCGCAAGGAGCGCGAAGAGGCCGCCAAGAAGGACGACGTGGCGCGCGAGATTGCGCGACGCAACATGGGCAAGGAAGCGAACGCGGCCAAGGAGGAGTACGAAGCGATTCAGACGCGACTGCTGCGTGAGAAGCAGCGCAAAGAGAAGCTCGACGCCAAGCTCGAACGCGAGCGGCTCTTGAAGCAGCTCGAGATGGACAAGGCCGAGCGCCGCGCCCACGGCGGCGTGCTCAAGAAGGCGGCCTTTGAGAGCGACGTGGTCATGGCTGTGTCCGCACCGTCGCCGCCCAAGCCGTCGTCGGGCGACACGAGCCACCTCTCGCCGTCCGAGCAGATGCGCCAGGCGGTCGACCGCTTGATGCAGTACCGCGTCGGCGGCGACGGGCTCACGGCGCTCAAGACGCTCCAGATCTACGTGCGCAACGTGCTTGAAAAGCCGGCCGAGTTTGAAAAGTACTCGAAGATCAACGGCGGCAACGCAGCCTTCAAGAAGCGCGTCGGGTCGCTCCTCGGCGGCCTCGCCTTTCTGCGCGCGGTCGGCTTTGTCAAGACGGACACGGACGAGCTCGTCATGACGTCGCGCGACGAAGCGCTGCTGCAGGAGGCCATGCAACAGCTCTCGGCCGCCATTGCGCGCTACTAAGAACGCGAATATAGTACCGACGCAGCTAAATCGGGTTTTGCTTGTGTAACCGTGGACAACAAAGAGAGATGGGCTGGGCGACGCAGACCAGCCGGGTCCTCTCGCTGGTCGCGGCCGTCGTCGTGCTCTTCATCGAGCTCCAGGGTTCGGCGGCCGTGCGCGCGACCCTCGTCGGCGCGCGTGGTCCGCTCCGGGCCTCGTCCGAATACACGAGCCGCCTCATGCCACTGGTGGTGGCGGCGCTGTTGGCCAACACGTCACTGGCCGTGCATGGCCCGGCCCCGCGCCTCCTCTATATCGACGCCGACGACAGCCAAGAAGGGTATGGCCTCAGTGCGTCACAGTGTACGAGCCCGCTGCCCGGCGACCGCATCTACAAGGCGCCGTACCTAGCCCACCTGCTACCGCAAATCCTCACCGCCGTGCCGGAAGCGCCGCCGCCAGCGACGATCCTCATCGACTGCACGTACACGGCGCGGATGGTGCAGGACACGACGGCGCTCAAGGTCCACTGGGTCGATGCGAACGCCACGTCGCTCTCGACGCTCTTCCTCCAGACAATGGCCATCGAACGGCCGACAAAGCGTCTCAGCACGGCCTGCGGCGTCGCGACCTGGTCGTCGCTGCCCCTCGTACCGTCGTCATTATCGCCGCCCAGCGCCACGTACGTGCACGGCGTCGGGCTCGACTTTCCGTACGTCATCTCGGCGTTCACGCGACTCACGCTCGCGCCGACTTTGACGCCGGATGGCATGTGGCAGGGCACGCTGGCCGGGTCGGGCGAGACGGTCTATGTCGCGGGCACCGAGGGCATCTACCGCGTCGCGCATGGCACGCAGGCCAACTACGACCACTACATTTGGGCGTTGCCGGACGATCCATTCGAGTTCTTAGCGGTCGTGGCGTACTTGACGACCGACATGTCGAAAGATGCGTTCGCGTGGGTCCGTGCGCTCCTCTCGATGGGCGTGGGGCTCACGCTCCTCGTGCACTTTGCTGTCGCCCTCCTCGTCGCGCTGCATCTGTACATGGAGCAGCATGTCGTCTGGGTGCCCGACGTCTTTCCCAGCGTCCAGGCGCGCCTCCAGCTGCGCGCGCTGCTCTGCCTCGTCGTGCTCGTGAGCACGAATGGCTGGCACCTCTACGAGTTCGCGCTCTGCACGGCCAACGCCCGCTGCGGCTGGACCAACAGCTTTGTGTTGACCGACATCGTCCGCGCCGATGGGCTCATGGTGTACCTCGGGCTCATGATCACGTTGGCCAAGACCGTGCGCATCCGCTTGCGCCTCGAGGTCGCCGTGAGCGTCTACCTCATTTGCTACGAGCTCAGCGATGCCATTGTGCGGTCGCCGCTGGGCCTGGACGTGGAAGCCGCCGACGCGTTTGTCGCCGCCAACTACCTCGCCAATATCCTCGAGGCCAACGTGGACGGCATGGACCTCTGGACGATCCACGAGAACGTTGACACCAACGTTGCTGTGGTCGCGGCGCAGATGACGTGGTGGGTCGTCGCGATTTGCATTTGTTTTGTGTATGCTCTTGCTGCCAAGGGTTGGAACATGCTCGATATGGACGCGCGACGCTGCAAGACGTGGCGCTACATGCACCGCCTTCGTCTCCGCTCGGACGATGGGGACGGCGTCCGGTCATTTGCGTCACAGAGCACGTCACGCCGCCTGCGGTCGTCGTCCTGGACGAAGAGCAAGGTTGGGCCATTGGCCCAAGCGTCGGCGCGGACATTTTCATTTCAAGATGTCTCGTCGCTCGCGATCGAAGCCGTGCTGCACACACAGCTCTGCAAAGCGTACGGCCTTGTCGCCCCGCTCGAAGAGTACGTGGCAGTGAGCGGCTGGACGTACGTCTCGGCTTCGAGCGTCTGGCTGCTCGGCTACGTCCTTGTCGACGACGCGTACCTCGTGCACGTCAACGAGTACCCGCTCCTCGTGCTGAACGCAGTGTTGCGCCGCCCGCTCTTTCGCGTCTACGGCTTCCACGTCATCGACCAAACAATTCGCGCTGAGAAGACGCGCTTGCTGCCGACTGTGATCCCGATCCGGCGGCTGCTCCATACCACCTTGCGCGACTTGCGTTAACACCTCGTAAAGTCCAATTTTGAGGTTTTTTGGTTTTGGTTTTTGTACACGACTTAGCTGGTCGTTGGGACCTCGGACGATGACGTGGCAACGTCGTGGAAGCCGGCGGCGGCGTCAATTTCGCGGCGCAGCTCCAGAATGTGCTCGTCGTACGCTCGGCGGTGGGCGAGCGCATGCGGGAGCGCGTGGGTCAAGGGCGGAAAGGCCACGGGCTTGAGGCCGCGCGTCGCGTGCGTGTAGCTCTCGGCGACATCGGGCGCGTCAGCGTGAATCGCGATGGGCACGTCGAGGCGCGCGTCGACAACGACCGACGCGAACCGGTCGTCGTCCTTTGCGCCGAGGATCTACAGACGCCGTGAGCTGGACGAGAGAGGCAGTATACCGATCGGAGGCGGTCGACGGTCGCGCCGGTGGCCACGCGGCTCATGCCTTTCCAGAGCGACGGTGCGGCGTTGCGGGCCTTGTACGCGCGGAGGCTCAGGTGCGGCGCGGCCAGGACGCCGACGCCCGACGCCGAGTGCAGCACGAGCTGCCGCGCTTCGAGGAACTTGTGGAAGCGGTCGCTGGGCATCTCATTGACTGTTTCAGTCGCGGTTACGTAGTCGGACTCGACTGACGCGACTAAAGTAGGTTGGGCAAGGGTACCATATATGCAATGTACGTCTCCGTTGATCGTTATAGTTAGTCGTCTATCCTACAGATGCCACTTCCGTCTCTTAGGGCGAGAGCGCGACTGTCGCCGTGGGGTCCGCGCTTCGGGGTGGCGGCCGTGCGAGGAGCTCGTCCTTAGCAGCGAGAAGCATCTCGACGACCTTGTCGCTGCGCGGCCGGAGAGTCGCGTCGAGCTGGAGACACTGCTTGATGATCTTGACGATGCTCTTGGGGCAGTCGGGCGACACTTTGGGGCGCAGCGCGCCGGTCACGAGCTGCATAGTGACTTCGGCGATACCGAGCTCGGCCATCTCGGCGGCGAAGGGCACTGCGCACGTGTCGAGCTCGGTGAGGACGACGCCGAACGAGTAGACGTCGACTTGCTCCGTGTAGTCGCCGCCGTCGAGGACGAGCTCGGGTGCCGACCACGGCACGTCGCCGACGCGCGACGTCATCTCGGCCTCGTACGTCCGCGCGCGGGCGACGCCAAAGCCGCTGAGCTTGGCTGTCGTTCGGTCGCCGGTGAGGAGGATCTTGGAGGCCTTGACGTTGCGGTGGATCACGATGGGCTTGAGCGAGTGCATGAAGGCGAGGGCCGAGGCGATGTCGATCGCGATCGAGATCTTCTCGCTGGCCCACGTGAGCTTGGACGAGGTGCGTGGCAGGTCGAGGAGGTACCGCAGCGTCTTGCCGTCGACGAACTCGGAGACGCACGTGAGGCCATGCTCGGGCGTGATGTTGAAGCCGAGGAAGGCGACGATGTTGGGGTGGCGAATGTTGGCCATCGAGAGAATCTCCGACACGAGGAGCTTCCGGCGCGACGCAACGTCGTCGCCGCTGCCGTCAAACGACTTGAGCAAGACGGGCTCGCCAATGTAGCTGCCGATCTCGGTCTTCATGTACTGGCTCGGGATCGTGCGCACGCGGATGATCTCGTCCGGGTCGATCCAGAACGTGTGCTTGAAGGGCTCGAGCTGCGCGTACGTGCCCCAGTCGGCGACCGGCGACCGCGGAGGCGAGGGCGGTGGCGTCGCTGTCGCCGCGTAGCGTGGCGGCTCCGGCTTGGTCGGCGAGGCCTCAGCGAGCGCGATGCCATCGACGTCGATTGGCGCCTGCGGTGGCGGCGCGGCCGTCGAGAGACACCCGCCCATGCCAGCAAGAAAGCGTTTCCTCGCCACCAAGATCGGGAACAAATATGCCATTCCAATCCTCTTTTTATTCTGACGTTTTATTCTACTTACACATATCAAGTTCTCCGTTTTTAAAATACAACGCCGAGGCTTGCCCGGGTTCCGATATTACTCGTCGGCCCAGTGGATGCACATTCCACTGGTTGCAAACAGTGTTTTGTTGCCCAAGGCAGCGCCGACAAGAGCCACCGCGCCGGCCCCGCGACGACGAAGACGAGGCTGCGATGTCGGCAGGCGATGATCGCGCGCAGCTGGGCTGCCGACGAGGTCTGATAGCCGCCTGTGAGTAACCTGTGGGACCGAGGTTGCCACAAAACGTTAACTAAGAATTAAAAAACAGTCGCCTACGGGCCAGCCTCGAGCTCGGCCTGCGCCTGCTTGAGGAGCTCGAGGACCTTGTCGCTGCGCGGGCGGAGGTGCGGGTCCTGCTGCAAGCACTGCTTGACGATCTTGACAATGCAAGACGGGCAGTCGGGCGACAGCTGCGGGCGCAGCGAGCCCGTCACGAGCTTCATCGTGAGCTCCGCCTTGTTCATCGTCGCCATCTCCTCGACGAACGGCACCGCGCCCGTATCGAGCTCCGTGAGGACGACGCCGAACGAGTAGACGTCGACTTGCTCCGTGTAGTCTTCGCCGTCGAGGAGGAGCTCGGGCGCCGACCACTGCATGTCGCCGACGCCGGTCGTCATCTCCATCTCAAAGGTACGGTCGCGCGCGACGCCAAAGCCGCTGAGCTTGGCGATCTTCTTGCTCGAGAGAAGGATCTTGGAGGCCTTGACGTTGCGGTGGATGAGCACAGGCTTGAGCGAGTGCATGTAGGCGAGGGCCGACGCAATGTTAATCGCGATGGCGATCTTCTCCTTGGGCCACGAGAGCTTGGCGGCCGCGTGCGGGTTGTCAAGCAGATGGCGCAGCGTCTTGCCGTCCATGTACTCGGAGATGCAGCAGAGACCGCTCTCGGGCGTGAAGTTGAAGCCGAGGAACTTCACCACGTTGCTGTGCTTGAGGCGCGTCATCGAGGTGATCTCAGACATGAGCATCTTCCGGCTCTTGTTGATGTCGTCTTCGTTCTTGGTCAAGTCGAGGTACTTGATGAGGACGGGCTCGCCGTTGACGTTGCCGAGGTCCGTCTTCATGTAGTTGCAAGGAATCGACCGCACGCGGATGACATCCTCGGGCTCAATCCAGAAGTCGGGCTTGAGGTGTTCGAGCTCGACGTAGTAGTCCCAGCTGTCGAGCACCTTGGGCGCGCCGCTCGTCGTCGTCGTCGGCGCGTGCACCGGCGTGTTGGTCGCCGGCCGCTTGTGCTCGAGGCGCGTCCCGCTCTGCGAGAGGTCGCCCTCGTGCTTGCCGTTGCTGTTGCCCATCGCGCTGCGAAAAAAAAAGTGCAAATCTTTTTCCCTCAGACGACAGGCGCAGCTAAATGCACGCAACCACACCCACTCTCGCTGCATCAACGCCTCTATATCAAGAGCTGTAGCAAGGCTTTGGCCTCTCGGGACCACGTGCGGTTGCTGCATCGTCCACCGAGGGCGATGCGACGGAAGTACAGCGTGCGATCTCCCAGACAGTGCGCAAGGCGGCGGCGACGTTGGCCATGTCCGTTGCGTGTTTTTAGCCTCTTCGCTCCAACCCGACGGCAAGCAATCACAACCCCACCCGCGACATCTCGCTGCTTCCTGGAGGTCCTGTCGCTCGGCTGGGCTGATGGGAGGTATAATCATCATATATACGTTAGAGTTATCGACACTACCATGGTATCGATCACGGCTGCTGGAGCGTCTGCTGCGCTTGCTTGAGGAGCTCGAGGATCTTGTCGCTGCGCGGGCGCAGAAGCGGGTCCTGCTGCAGACACTGCTTGACGATGCGCACAATGCACGGCGGGCACTCGGGCGAGAGCTTGGGCCGAAGCGCGCCAGTCACGAGCTTCATCGTGATGTCGGCCTTGGTCATCGTCGCCATTTCCTCGACGAACGGGACGTCGCCCGTGTCGAGCTCCGTGAGCACGACGCCGAACGAGTAGACATCCACTTGCTCCGTGTAGTCTTCGCCGTCGAGGAGGAGCTCGGGCGCCGACCACTGCATGTCGCCGACGCCAGTCGTCATTTCGTACTCGAACGTGCGGTCGCGGGCCGCGCCAAAGCCGCTGAGCTTGGCCGTCTTCTTGGACGTGAGGAGGATCTTGGCCGCCTTGACGTTGCGGTGGATGAGCACGGGCTTGAGCGAGTGCATGTAGGCGAGGGCCGACGCAATATCAATCGCGATCGAGATCTTCTCGTTGGCCCACGTGAGCTTCGAGGCCTGGCGCGGGTTGTCGAGGAGATGGCGCAGCGTCTTGCCGTCCATGTACTCGGAGATGCAGCAGAGGCCATAGTCGGGCGTGATGTTGAAACCGAGGAACTTGACAATGTTCGGGTGGCTAATGCGCGTCATGGACGTAACCTCCGAGATGAGCATCTTGCGCGTCTTGTTGATCTCTTCCTGGGACTTGGTCAGGTCGAAGCTCTTGATGAGCACCGGGTGGCCGTTCAGGTTGCCCATCTCGGTCTTCATGTAGTTCGAGTTGACCGACCGGATGCGCGTCACGTCGTCCGCGTTGATCCAGTACGTGTTCTTCAAGGGCACGAGCTCGTCGTAGCTGTGCCAGTTGACGTCCGACGGCGGCGTGCCACCGCCGACCGGGATCTCCTTGCCGGGGCCAGTAGGGCGTACCGGGCGAGGCTGCTGGACCGACGGGTCCGGGTTGTAGCGGCCAGTACCAGTGCCCGTGCCCGTGTTGACGTCGGAGATGATGGGGCGGGGCGGGTGCGTAGCGGACTCGGAGCTGGAGCAGGCGCCCATGGTCGTCGATGCTTCTTGAGGCTGGCGAATGTGACACTGGCTTGCTGTGTGCCCGGATCGTACAAACATTACAGATTTACTATACTATACTTTGCCCCTATGGTTTTCGAAGCCGGTACACCTTGGGGTTTGTATGTGATACTGAAACCAAGTGTCCAACTGCTGTAAGTAACAGCGTCTTGTTACTGCCTCTTCACCTCGTGTCGCTGATCCAGGCCGGCAAATTAAAATAAACTTTCATCGCCCTGGATACACAAATCAAGTGCACTGGAATAAAATACAATCCAGGCGTACGGATTGTTGCCATCCAGCGTGTATACAAAATACAAGATACTTTTCGAGGCCTGTCCGGGAGAGATGGCACGACCGTCCGCGCGTCACCGATGACGTCGCACCCAAGTCGACGCCGGTACCCTCCTTGGCCAAGAGGACCCCAGATCACCAGATATTACATTTGTAGTCGCTCGAATCTAGTCCAGGCCAGACTCGACTGTGCGAATGCAACAACCCGACCCAGATCTGATAGCAACAAGCTTGGGGAATCGACGAGCGTCTCTGTTGCACACGGTTGTTGAAGAGCGCCATCGGTAACAGAGGCAGTGACACGCGTAGCGTACACAAGGCAAGAAGCGGGTAGAATCGCAAGTCGCCCAATCCTGACGACTAACATTAATGCGCGCATGGCTGCACGTCGCAACGCTGCTGCGAGCCTTGAGTTTGCTGTATTAATAGTGCGTGGTGGTAATGGCGGTGTACGACATGCAGATGTGGTGAGAGGGATCTGGACGATGCTCTGATGGGGCCAGGACCAAGCAGCCACACTCACTGCCACGCGCATGTGAGCTACGCCTGCGAGATTGTCTGCAACGTAGGTTCCACAAGTGTCCACAGGATACCGCGGGCAACGGACAG